GTTCGGATGTCGCTGCTTATCTATTCTCACACTTTTACAATGGTTCGGATGTCGCTGCTTATCTATTCTCGCTTTTACAATTTTTGACTCTTAATTGACAATTACACAATTTACTGTATTAATCGATTGAACTACTGCTTTGACTTTAATTTAATTAAATGAATTACTTTCCCGAACTGATTTTACTTAGCTTAACTGGTTGGATTACTTTCCCGAACTGAATGAATGAATTTAACTGATTGAATTACGTTCCCGAACTGAATTGCTGACCCTTCCTCAACTGCCTTAATATACTCGCTCAGTTCCGGATCCGTTTCCGGATTTTCTTATTGTTACCTTGAGAAATTCTGCTAAGTCGCAATAACATATTTTTTTCCTCGTTTGAAAGTCGCGCGTGGCCCAGCTGTTACCATCCGGGTATCATAAACCGATTTCTTACATATGTTACCAGCGCGTGATAGAACGTTGTCTCGGTGACCGATCTGACTTTCCTTATTTTTTACAAAATTCGGCAAAACATGTTTTTAACGTTATAAACCGAATTTATTTTAGCGCGTGTTACCGGGCCATGTGCAGTTACTTGTTGTTGATCGGGAGTTTCCGATATCTCGCGAGTGCGTTACAGAGTCATAAACCGTCATCTCACGAGCACGTCACGGGGTCATAAACCGTTATCTCTTATCAGTTCGAACGTCACTTTTGATCTTATCATATCTTATATCAGTTATAGTGACGTCACTGGTGACGTTACAACTTATGGCCACACTTCGTTATTTGTCCCCAAATAATGTCATAAACTTTCACTCTTGCGGTGCGTGTATATATTGGCTTATTTTTTTACATTTTGCCAGTTCGACTTGTACTTTCAAAAACAATCAGTTATCTTTAAACTTATAATCAGCGCATAATGGAACAAGTAAGTATAATTTTATTTTTAATATAACATTACTCCGATTGGTATTTTTTTTTTTTTTTTTTATTTTTCTTTAGGGAAAGAAATTTAATCTCGCTCTAGTTAATGCTCTTCGCTACCTGGTAAAACACTTTAATTTTGGTGTCCTGGATGACGATACTTTAGTCCAGGAGGCAGATTTTGCTCTGCAGCTGCTCTGGGAGCTGGAATATCCGGCGTATAATTCTGAGAATCCTTGTCCTCGGGCCGCTTTGAATAAGGACGATCCGTGTCGATGGTGTTGGAGATATGGCTGTTCTCCTGCTTCGTGCCGAGCAGGGGTTTTTGAAGGGGTCGTCAAGACGGAGGCTTGGTCGTTTCTTCAGCGCTTGGATGATTTGTCCAAGGAGTTCCTTGCGCCTGCTGCTAGCACTGAGGAGTCCTCCTCTTCTGAGTCTGACGACACTGACAACAGCTCGACCGTATCCACGCCGAGTATCTCTGATGAGAGATCCCTTTCTTCCGATGTGATATTGGAGGAAGAAGTTATTATTGTTTCAGATGATGATGAGCTTTGCTGACTAATGTTTCTTTCTCTGTGACTTATGTGTAGTTACAATAAATTTTTATATTATTTTAGCCTATTGTAATTGTTTCATTATATATAATATGTTTTTAAAGATAAGGTTTTCCTTGTTATTTCAGCATGAACCATTGAATTTGGCGATAGTGAGGGCCTTGCGACTGCTTCTTGTGACGTTGGATTTTTCCGAGCTTGGTCAGTCTGAAGCGGTTGATGACCTTGTATATTCCCTTGACGTCTTTACAGAGCTTGTGTGGCCCACCCATGATGTGGATGACTGGTGTCATCAAGTATCCGTGTCGGCACCAGATAGTTTGTGCAATGTTTGTGGAGGACTGATGAGTCAGCCACCTTCTGTTGGGGATGAAGCTGTCGCTAATCTGGAGGGTCTCATTTCTGCGGCCGTCCGTGCTTTCCTAGATTGTTTAGAAGCTCTTGTTGATGGTCCTCCTTCTGCTTAAATTTTGTAATCTTCTTATGTTAATGGAAAACCTTATTTTACAATAAAATTTTTTATTTTACATTTTTCTTTTACAATATCATTTTTGTTTACCTCAACCATAATTTAACACACATATATTTTTTATAATAGTTTTCATATATTTCTCATGAACATATCATTTTTTGTTTACCTCAACCATAATTTAACACACTTATATTTTTTATAATAGTTTTCATATATTTTCATGAAAATTCTGTTTTCTTTTACAACATATCATTTTTTGTTTCCCTTAACCATAATTTAACACACTTA